GGGACTCTGAGCAGCCAGGCCAGCCTGTGTCCAAGTACCTCAGCAGCCACACCTGCAGTAAGCCACAGCTAATGAATTGTACCCAGTTTTAGAGACAGTGAGCATCTTGATTGGCTGCTGGAAATGCCACCTACCCATTTAGCCTAGTTAGAGCTTTGGGTTTCCAAGCCAGTCAACAGTTCTGCTATGGCAATCCTCCTGGTTCTTGCACTCAGGTTTTCCTTTTTCTAGAATAATGACTCTGGTTTTGGCTTACTTCTAGACTTTAGCTTTAGATTTCCTTGTGGATCTGTTTCTTAGCTTCTGACCTTGGTTTGGCCCTGCTCTTGGACTTCACCCTGTGGATTATCCCTTGGATTGGTGCTCATTGTCTGATCCCCGGATCCTAAACTGGACCATGTTGTGGGTTTGGATTCTGTCCTTGGATTTCTCTCCAGATTTGGTCATATGTTTCCCATCTTCTGACCCAGCCCCAGGCCTCTGCTTTCCCAGTGGTCTAACCATTAAGACAGACTGCCTACGCCCCCGTCTCTTACAGATATATTCTCAAAACATAAAACATTTTTGCTTCCATAGCTAACTGAGGTGATATTAGCGGGTATCTTGGCTTTGTCTTTTTAAAGATTATAACTTCTCTGATAAACCCCCTTAACTTTTCTGATTGAAAACCTCAAAATCCACATTTTCCATGATTAAAATGAAACACCACTATATATATATTTATATTTTATATATTTATAAATTGATATATATAGGTATCAATTTAACACAATATTTTACTGATATATTTACAATTTTAAAGCAATTTGGAAGCCTACTAGTGCCTTAATCATTATAATAAAATAAATTTGATATACCTACATATTTTGGCATTTGATTTTTTAATCATGGAAAATCAGAGCTCCCCCCTGCCACCTTCACTCACCAGGACACAGGTCCAACTGTGGCTGCCCCCCCTGCTGCTTTGTGGTGCTCAGCAACCCTGGTATGCTGGTACCCTGCCTGTGCCCATGACGTTGCCCCTCATTTCCAAGCCACAGTCCCTCCAGCCCTGCTGATGCTCCTCACTCCCAACCCGCAGTCCCCTGCCCCTTTGGTGCCCCTCATTCCCAAGCCACAGCCTCCACAGCCCTGCTGGTGCCCCTCACTCTCAACCTACGGCCCCTAACCCTGCTGGAGGGGACCCCCAGCTGCCCCTGTTCTGTCTGGGCCAGAGCATGGTGGCTGCAGCAGGTGCAACATTTCCCACAGCAAATGGAAAACCCAGATCCCTGGATATTAGGCACTGGATTTTGGCCACATCTCAATTCCCCTATGACCAGGAAGTATTAATTCCTTCTGTTTACACATGGGGAACAGGACTACACAGAGAAAAACAGTACTTGCCTACAGTCAACCTGAATTCTTGTGATTCCTGGTCTAGAGCATAGGATATAACTTTCCTCTGCCAGCTACTGTAGAGTGTGATCCTTCCAACATTACTCCTACACCTACCCCACTGACTGCAACAGAATTACCCTCATATTTTAAGACTAATCATTTGAGCATCCTCCCTACTTACAGTGATCGTATGTTATGAAGGTGTTGAACACCATCCCCACAATGCCTAGCTGGTCAGCCTCTTTTCCTCAGTTTTGTTTTCCCTCAAAAATCTTCACATTTGCTCATGCTGGGCTATAGATATACATAATGTTATTTCTTAGCCCTCCTTAAATACCTTCTTAAAATTCACCTCTGTTGTGATGCTTACAAACCACTCAACTGTCCCAGGCCACTAGTATGCTGCTTCTGTTACTTACAATCATGGGCGGATCTAGGATTTTGAAAGGGGGAGTACAGATGGTGTGGCATATGATCACCTTATAACACAAAAGATATTTTTCCAGTTAAAGAGAAATTAGATACTTTACTAATATATTAGAGGCCTCACACTGCATTATTCAGTTTAAGATCAAATAAAAAACAAATATGACTACTGGACTGTGCGCTAATTGGCTAGATTACAGATAAAGTTAAAAAAATCACAACAAATGAAGCAAAAAATTGTCACAAGATATTACATAATTAGTCCTGTAATCATTATACTTAATTGTATGTCTCTTCAGCTTTGTAAAACAAAATCTATCTTAGCTTGAGTGTCTTGACAGTACCTCCGATACTTCACTGTCAGTTATTTCTAATAGTAACCTGAGTTACTATTATCACGTGGGAGTTAAAGTTTTTAGCCAGAGCTCAAGAGAATCTGCAAGGCTGTGACATAGGAGAGACTGAAGGGGAACATAGAAGAGGAATGGCTGACACCAAAATTTCAGAAGATAGCTTGCATAGTGGAACATCAAGACCTGTGGTGTGGTGAGTGATTAGCAAGAATCAAGGAGATGATAATGAGCCATGAACTGAATTGACTTTCTCAGTACTGCCTGAATAGAAATGCTGCTGCCCTTCCCAGGCAGTTGGTTTCATAGGTTGGGTGGAGCAGGAATTAAAGGGGGAGGACCAGTGCAGCTGAATCGCTGCTCCACACCTCCTAGCTCATTCCTTTTTTTAATGCCACAGTTCAGAGCTTCTTCCTCTCCACTGTGCCAGTGAAGGGGGAGTTTACACCCAGCTTCAGAGCTCTGTCTCCTCAACCTTTGATGGTAGTGCTGGTCCATAGGTAGCCCAGCAGATTGGGCTCTACATGGTTTCCCTTTGCACTGCTTGTTGCAAGCTGGATTCCAGCTTTGGCTCCTTTTGCCCCTGATGTCTGGTACAGCTTCCTGGGCCATTGACTCCTGTAATGTCACAAACAACCAAGTCATGTAATCCCTGTTAGGTCTTGTTAGGTTTCTTACCCCCATTACTCCTACTGTTAGGTTGTCCCAGAGCTTCAGTTCTTTATTCATTAGAAACTATCTTCAACCTTTCAACCTGATACCTTTTTCTTGAGCCAGCATTTTCCTTGCTGGGATTTAAGGGGTTTACCCTCCATGCACCTCCCCTCCCCTCCCCTGCCAGATTTAAAGAGAACAGGCTGCATCCAAGTCTTCATTTTGCTAGCCTAATAATTCACATCTCCTCTTGTCAGCTAGCTTCAAAATTCTCCTGGTCATTCTAGGAGCTCTGCTCGGCATCATTCCAGGTTGAATTCAACCTCCTTCTACTACTATGCGTGACCACAACTATACACAATATCCCGGAAGAGGTTGTAGCACTACCTTTCCATAGAATCACACATATCTTATTCATAGCCCCACCACACTAGTGGCTCCTGGTCATCCTCTGACCAACTAATAAACTAAGAGATTTCCCTCCACCCATCTCTGTTGCTACAAGCCAATAAACCCCCAGCTCACAGCAAAGATTTTTAGGTTCTTAATTCACGGCTTTCCACTTTGTACGACTAAGTTTCAACCTATTTCTATTATTCCTGTCCTCAAGGTCATCTAATTCTTCCTGCACAATGCTCTGATCCTCTTCCATAATGGCCGTGTCTCTGGATTTTGTGTTGCCTGCACATGTCATTATCTTACTCCTACTTTCTATGCTTGAACTATTAAGGAAAATTTGAAATAAGGTTGGTTCCCAGACCAGTCCTTGAGGACCTTCACTAATAACCTCCCTGGAGTCCAGGATTTCCTGTTTCAGCACAACCCACTGTAGACAGGCCAGTAGCCAATTCCTTTCCCAATTTACAAGGCTTGCCCTAATCCCCACCTTCTTCCTCTTAATAATTTCTCCCAGGGCACTGCATCAAATGCTTTACTGACATCCAGAGCGGTTTGACTGCCTGCATTTTCCCTGCAGGCGATTGAAGCCCCTACTCCTCCAATGTTGTGAGCAAAGGCTCTTGACAATCAGTGGAGCCCTGACTGGGGCAGGCACCTCCTCAGAGATAGTGTGTCAGGCCCTGCACAGACTCAAGCAGCTGTCATGGTGCCACTCACTTTGTGGGAGATTATCCCCATAGCCATAGAAGGCTAGAAGCCGATTTTGTGACATATCAATACCGGGCTTTGGGAGCACATGGCCTGGGGCAATGGGGGTTGGGGACATCACGTAGCTCCAGAAGCTGGCTGGGGGCACCTTTCCTATGGGCAGCAACACTGACAAAGCCACCTGCTGGCAGGTGGGAATTTGGGCAGCATGGCTCCCTTTCTGCCCCCGATGGACACTTGCCCATGCAGGGGGCTGCTTGCTACCTGGGGTCTTCATGGTTGCGGGATGAGGTGGCTTGACTTCTCCCTATGGATGAGCCCTGCCTGAGGGACAGTGTTGCCAGGTGTATGGTAATTTTCTTATTTTTACGATAATTTCAACCCTTTTATGAGGTATGATCAATAATAGTAAGTGTTCAAACGTACACGATTTTTTGAGGTAGCTCATTGATGCAACATATGCAAAACGCAAGTCATTCTCTTGGAGGGGAATCTTAACTGATTTCCAGGCTTGCTGTCAGCACCTCCTTATTTATAACTGCTTGCCTCAAAATAAATAAATGTTTCAACTTTAACGAGCATCTAAGGGCAGCATGGGGCAGGGGCTAGTGTGAACAGCAGGGATCCTGGTTTTCTCTGATAAAAGAAAACCCCAATCCACATTTTTCTGTACTTAAAATGAAACCCCCCCCTAAGAGATCGATTGATCGATCTATATCTATTGAGATCTATCTATCTATATATAAAGAGTAATTCCAAATCCACATTTTTCCGTGCTTAAAATGAAACACTACTAGTATATCTATCTAGCTATCGAGATAGCTAGATAGATATACTAGTAGTGTTTCATTTTAAGCACGGAAAAATGTGGATTTGGGGTTACTTTTTTAAAGCAGGGAAAACCAGGACCCCTGGTGAGCAGCCTGTGTGGGCGCGGGGAAGCGGGTAGAAGATGCCCTGAATGCAGGAGGCATTCGGAGGAGGTGGGGCCTGCGCCGGGCTCCCGTCTCCATGGCGACGGGGCGGGAGCGCCAGCGAGGCGGCACTTCCGGGGTTGGCTCCGCTGCGCGGTGCCTGCCGGGAGGCGTCGCTTAGGACACGGGTGTAAACAAGGCGGGATGCGCGGGGCGCCGCCGACAGGCTCCGCCGGAGAGGGGGCGTCCCCGCACCCCCCGCGTGGCCATGGCGAGCGGCTGGGCGCGCTCCAGCTGCGCCTGCGGGACTGGTGAGCCGCGCCAGCACCTCCCCGCCCGCCTGTCCTCATCCCCTCCCCTCGGGTTGACGTCATGCGTGGGACGTCATGCCACCTTTGCTTCACTTTTCGGGGGCTCTGGGTGCCCTTCAAAAGGGGTGACGCCCCAGCCACGGCCCCGCAGCTGGGGAGAGCAGGGCGGGGGGTACCTATGGGGGCAGCTGCCCTCCAGGGTATGGGTCTCTTCAGTGTTGTCTTGACCAGAGGGGCGCTGTGGGTGGGGAGGGCTGGGGCTGGCCAGGAGCGGGGGTGTTTGTCTGCAACCCTGCTGTGCATTGGGTGGGGGCAGGCGGGGTGGGGTACCTGTAGGTTACGGAGGTGTGAGCGCACCCCATGCCCTGCCGAGGCAGGAGCCAAAAAGGGGGTATGCAGAGGTGAAGCATCAGATGAGATGATAAAGATGGCCTGGAGAAGAGGGCTGCCGTGCTTGTGTGCCTCAGTGTGGGTGGCTGCTGGGAGCCAAGCAGGAAGGGTGGTAATACATCCAAGAAGCCTCCTTTTTTGAAAAGTTGTAATATGACTGAAATCATTTCGGTTATGGGGCTGGCTTAAAACTTTGTTTGCAGGTGTTTGGCCTTAAGCTCCCTGACAAAGTCTCTGTAACTATAAAAGTCTTTGAGGATGCTACTTCTTCCATTGCTTACTCTTTATCCTATGTTCTCAGGCACCTCTGTGTTGCTGTGAGCTGCAAAATCCTCATTTGGGCTGTTAAATTTGTTTATTTGTTGTTTAGCTTCTGTAACCCTGTCACTTTTGTGAGGCCTGGGCAGGTGCCACTGAGTGACTTTGGCCACTGATATTCTGATGTGTTCAGAAGACGAGCTTTGGTTTGGCATTATTGTCACAATGATGCCTTGCATTAAACAAAAGAATCTGAAACTGATGTTTTGAAAACAGACAAAGGCCATGTGTACACATGGATCTCTCCGACATATAAAAATAATTAGTGCATAAATTTAAAAGGTAACTTTAGGTGCCTTCAGTTTTTCAGGGCAAAACTGAGTTACTTTAAAGGATACTTAACATTTTTCAGAAAGTACTAAGAGGCTTAATGTGAAACAGGATCCAGTAAGAGGTAAACCCGGCCAGCTAGTAACTGTCTCCAGGTGTGTGAAGTGAGTTGTTGTTTTCAGTGCTTTCAGTGTTTTCAGTGTTTTTAGAGTAAATGGACACTTGTCAGAAAAATTTCCCCTTGAAAGAGATGCATATCAGGGTTGACCAGTATCACCCCACCTTTTTGCTATGGTAATGGAATCATTTGCCCAATCATTCAGAAATAATTGAAATATATGGGAAATGTACACAGTGTAAGAGGAACATAAACATACTATTACACACTGATGCTGCTGCTGTTCATTACAAAACCAATTATCTGTACTACAAAAAGAAATGATAAAATACAGCAAAATTTCAGGATTCAAAATTAACTATGAAAAGTCAGAACTTCTAACTTTTTGGTATAGGAACATTTACAAAAAAAGATAAAAAATAGCTATATATAATATAGCTATATATAATATATATAATATAGCTATATATAATTAATATATATATATAATTAATATATATAATATATATATAATATAGCTATATATAATATAGCTATATATATATATATAGCTACATATAAATGGGAAACTACTTCCTTAAAATACTTAAGGGTGAATATTATTTAAAAATGGCAGGCCTTGTAAGCTCCAGTTACCTCATGCACTTACATTTGATCTATGCCTATCAGTAGGGATCTCTGTAAATCGCATTGGATCTCTGTAAATCGCGCTGGAGCCAACATACTATCAAGTGGCTGGACTTAATATATTACAGTGGCTGAAGAAGTCATCCAGGCCGCATTCAATATATAATTACCTCTTTATGAGAGCAAACAGAGAAGCTTGGGATAACGCATACACAAAATTAAGTTCATACCCATCACTTTTAGCACCTCTACTTAATAATAATGAATTTAATACTTATAAAATATCAGGAAGCTTTAACAACTGAGAACATAGTATTATAAAATATGGACATTTATTCAAAGAAAGTTTACCTAGGGTTTTTGAAGATGCACAAGGTGCTAAGGTGCAGTAGTAATGAGTTACTGTGTCATAGCTTGTAGCTACCACAAGCATTGCCAGGGACTAACCATGTGGTGATGCTACTGCAGTAGCATTGGGGGAAAAAATCATGCAGCAACAGTACTGCACAGTAATGCTGGTTACTGCGCAGTCATTTAGTACTTGTTTATGCAAGTACTAAATGACTGCGCAGTCCGCCAGTCATGTAAACGCAGCCACAGTGTGCCACGAGACATTAAAATCCCTTTTTGCCGATGCCCAGATTGAGACATTTTTCAGCACATCCTCAGAGAAAGATAAACCTCAGCAAAAATTTGACAGATCATGAGAAAATATTAGTCACACCTATATAACCAACTAGCCTCTTGTCAGTGTTATATAAAACTATATTAAATTGTCACAAACAAATGTTTTTCCTCTATATGGCAAAATGGGCTATAGACATTGGATCAGAAATTAGTGATGAGAAATGGGAGACCATTTGTAACAATGGTCTTCATACATCCATTTGCACAACAATAATAAAATATTTTAAAGTCCTGTATTGATAGCATCTCATGCATTGTATTTATGGTACAGGAACAGGCAAGTGTTGGAGGGGGCATGGTCATTTGGGAGGATTCTAGTACATTTGGGGGACATGTCCTAGGTAGAAACAAACTGTACCAGAAGAAGGCTGGAGACATGGTGAGGGAAATAACAGGTGACAGCTATAAGATAACCCCTTAATGTTCTTATAGAACCTTTCTGAGAACTCTGCAACATACAAGAGTAGTAAGGAATTGATTACTCAACTTCCAGTATCTGCAAGAAGCACAGTGGGAAAAGCCTAGCAGAAAAGTGACGCTTCTAAAATCACTGACTGAGTTAAAAAACATTTGGGAAGTTTAGTGTTGGAATAGTTGTCCTGTCAAGTCATAGCTTTACAAATGAGAAGGAAAAAAAAGATGCTTACTTAGAAATCTTGTGGAAGTGCTTGCAGTTTGCTGAAAAATAATTTTATCCTGCCTCCAAGCCAGAAACTTTGAGAAACTTTTTTGGAATATTTGAAAGATTATAAGTTCTAAGAGCAACTATGGAATACATTTGAAATCTAAAGGCAGAGCTAGGTAGAAGGTAGCGAGGGCTGTATCATGCAAAGTTCTAAGGAAAAAGAGGGAGGTGAATCATTAAGTGTTACATACAGTACAAGGGTGAAGAAACACAAAGGTTGGTATTGACCGTAAACGAGCTATTGGAGGCGAAAAACAGGTGAAGAAAACACAGGATTCCTCACTGTGGACACAGACTTGGGTTAAAAGAGCACTGTTGGTGGAAGATAAATATCTGTCTGGATGTATACCTTAGGGGTTTAGATACATCTTCACATGTTAAATTTGTTAGTTGGTAAGGTGGATTTGTTAATAAATAAAATGTCTTGGACAAAAGACTGTAAAACAAAACAAACTACAAGCCTACTTATTTTCTTTCCCTCTCAAGTATTTATATGCACTAGTCATGCACAGGTCAGGAGGACCATGTTAAATATAGCTGTCATGATTCATGTTTGGAAGCAGAACAGTTTGCTACAGGAGTTGTAAACAATATACAATACTTTTTCTGGGGTTGAGGGGCTGGTAAAACAGTTATTTGCTGCTCCACCAATTCACTGTTTTGTTAAGTTTCATAGTTTCATAGTTTCAGGGTCGGAAGGGACCTAATAGATCTTCTAGCCCGACCCCCCGCCAGGGCGGGAGAACAACCCAAAAAAAAACAACAAAAAAAACAAAACAAAAAAAAAAACACCACTCACCCTAAAAACAAAAACGGGACTCAAATGAGTCCAGCCAGGTAAGTATCCAGCCTCTTCTTAAAGATCCCCAGGGTAGGGGCCAGCACCACCTCCCTTGGAAGTTGGTTCCAGCTCCTAGCCACCCTAACTGTGAAGTAGTTTTTTCGGATGTCCAATCTGTACCTCCTCTCCATCAACTTGTGCCCATTACTCCTTGTTATGCCAGCGGGGGCTAGGGGAAACAGCGTCTCCCCCAAACCCTTCTGGTTCCCCCTAGTGAGTTTATAGACGGTCACCAGGTCCCCCCTCAGCCTTCTCTTGTGGAGGCTGAATAGGTTCAAGTCCCGCAGTCTCTCACTGTAGGGTCTGCCCTGTTGTCCCCGGATCATGCGGGTGGCCCTCCTCTGGACCCTCTCCATGTTGTCCACATCCCTCCTGAAATGGGGCGCACAGAACTGGACACAATACTCCAGCTGCGGCCTGACCAGCGTCGCATAGAGGGGGAGGATCACCTCCCTGGCTCTACTCGAGATGCACCTGTGGATGCACGACAAGGTCCGGTTAGCCCTGCCAACCATGACCTCGCATTGTCGGCCCATGTTCATCTTGGAGTCAATAATGACACCAAGATCCCTTTCCGCCTCCGTGCTCTCAAGTAGGGAGCTCCCCATCGTATAAGTGTGCTGCTGGTTCCTACTACCCAAGTGCAGCACCCTGCACTTGTCCGTATTGAAACACATCCTGTTCCTGTTTGCCCACCCCTGTAACCTATCCAGATCCTTCTGCAATCTCTCTCTCCCTGCTAGCGTGCTCACCTCCCCCCAAATTTTGGTGTCATCAGCGAATTTAAACAGGTTGCTTTCCACCCCAACATCAAGATCGCTGATGAAGAAATTGAACAGCGCAGGCCCCAGGACCGAGCCCTGGGGGACTCCACTACCCACCTCCCCCCAAGTCGAATATGATCCATCCACCACCACCCTCTGAGTGCGACCCTTCAGCCAATCTGCAATCCATCTGACCGTGTAGGCATCTATGCCACAGTCGCCTAGTTTATTAATTAGGATGGGGTGAGAGACGGTGTCAAAGGCCTTGCTGAAGTCCAGAAAGACTACATCCACCGCGAC